CTCTCCACCGCCCGAGGGATGGTGCCCCTAGGGTTCCCTCGCGCCCGAAAGATTGAACCACTGCCCCCAATCGCGCTTTAAAAGCGACCCCTCGTGAGGGAGGAGAGGCGGGAGAACTGATGTGTTTCCGCCTTTGTACCCCAGAGCAAGGACACAGTCTTTTTTCCCCCACACAGCACCCGTCCCTGAGACCCACTGCGATGACCGGTCTGTGTTCCTCCGTGGGCCAGAGCTGATCCTAGAGGGGCCAGGCCCTTCCTCTTCCTCATCCCTTTGCCGCATAGGTGGGACTCGCGCAGACCTAGGTCCCAACTCAGGCGCCCGGGTCCCTTATCCGATCCGTCGTCGGTCGTGGCCTCTCCTTTCGTGAGCCCACATCAGCTCTTTCCCACCCCCTGCGCGCCGAGCTCCCGTCCCAAGTGTAACAAGTGTAACGGTAACCTCTCCCATTCCCTATTCAGGACCATTTTTTGTAATACTTTTGTAATCTATTCCTGTAAATAAGAGTTGCTTTGCCCGAGCAGGAGCCCCTAGGGCTGTATTTATCTCTGAGGCATGGTGTGCAGTGCGAAAGGAACTTTGTATGTTTATACCAAAGGGGGGCGAGGGGCTGGCCTCGCTCAGGTGTTGGAAATAAAAATGCTAATTTATACCAAGGCGGTCCTGGCTTTCCCTAGGTGTCGGGGCAGACTACTGACCCAATACAGCAGCTAGCCCTGCAGGTGGCAGGCGGATTGCAAGGAGGAGCCGGGAGAAGGAAAGGAGGGGTACGTGTGTCTCCAACATGTGGGGAGGTTCTTATGACCATGACCAACATGATCACACGTCAGTCAGCAGTTCTCATGTCAGATGCATATTAGAATGAACTGAGTAGTTTATAAAGTGATCCATGCCTGCCCCCCCTCACCCCCGAGAATCTGTTTTATCTATCTGCCCCAGACACCTGGGGCCAGATATTGGTATTTCCTTTTTAAAAAATATATTTTTTATTGATTTCAGATAGGAAGGAAGTGGGAGAGATAGAAACAATGATGAGAGAGAATCATTGATCAGCTGCCTCCTGCACACTCCACACTAGGAATTGAGCCTGCAACCTGGGCATGTGCCCTGATCGAGAATTGAACTATGACCCCCTGGTTTATAGGTTGATGCTCAACCATTGAGACACACTGGCTGGGGTGGATATTGGTATTTCCAAAAGCTTCCCAGGTGATTCTGACGAGCATAAGAGATTGAGAATCACACTCCTCCATACACAGAGGGGAGCCAGAAGGGTCACTGAGAAGTCATGGCCCCAGGTGCCACTCAGAATCCTCATGGGTACAGAGGGTGTGCTATGGTGCTCACCACATTACAAGGAAACACTAAACGAGTGTAAAGGGGCATGGCAAGCTTCCTGGTACTCACAGGCTCTTAGCGATAGGTGTAAACACAAGGGGACATCGTTGAAGATGAGGCAGGTCCAGAGGTCTCAGCTCAGCCAGTAACCAGGCACCTCAGGTAGAGCATCTCAGCCAGCAATCTGATCCCCTAAGACCCAGACCCTGCAAGGAGAGAAGCACATGCAAACCTGCATCCCCGCAGGTGGCACAGATGCTCTCATCAAGATATAGACACTCTGGGAGCAGAGGAGGGCCACTGATTTAGCCAAGGTGCTGGGGAAGAGGTGCCACTTGAGCTGTATCTTGAGAAACGAGAAAAACCACCCACACACAACTACAGGGGCGAGATCATACACACACATATAAATACACGCAGAGGCACTTCTGCCCTCCCATCCTCCCGCTGAAGGATAGCCTGGCAAAAATTCTTCCCCATTCACATGCCACCGCAACCCCCACCCCCTAACACTCAAGACATCAGTGCTTCCTATTCCCACCCTTACAGACCCTTTTCCCCTCGAAAACCTTATGAGCCCACTTTCAAGGGCTCTTCTCACCAAGTGGGGGGCCCTGGGGAAGCAGGCACGATGCAATGCCAGCAGGAAGGGCCTCATTTCCTATCTGAGCATCTGCTCTCTGCTCCCAGGAGAGCCTTTGCTCTCCCCAACGCAGGGTCCCTGAGGAGCCAGCAGGGCTGCTCTGTTACTAATGATCCTCAGCTTGTCTCCTGGCTGCTTCCCCAGATGTGCCTCTGGGTTTCTTACACTCGTTGAGACCCCTTGGGGCTCATTCATGAATTCATTCATTTAACAGACGCCAAGCCCTATGCTGGGTGAACACAGAGACCAGTGGACACAGTTCCTGCCCTCGGGAAGCACCCAGACATTTGGGAAAATTGTATCTGTCAGCAGCTGGTTACATGACAATGAATTAAGTGCTATAATGGGGCTATATGCAGCAGAGGGAACACAATAGGGACAGAAGGGACAGACAAGCATGTCGCCCCTAATAAGAATCTTGAAGGAGTTGGTCAGGAAAGAGGAGCCAATGGGGTTGCTCCAAGCTGAGGAGACAGTCAGTACAAAGACCCGGAGATGACAGAAAGCAAACTGTGCCTTCATGAAACCAAAGCTGCTCATAGCGAGGGGCCAGAGGTGAGATGGAGAAAAAGTGGAGGCAGGGCCACAGTGATCTCATTTGGGCTTTATCCTGAAGGCAACGGGGAGCCATAGAAAGTCTAAACAGGGGAAGGATTCAAATAAATCTATATTTCAGAAAGGCCAGTCTGGGCTGGAAGAAAAGGTAGGATGGGAGATATGTCAGAAGTGCCACCGGAGGACACACAGCGTGGCCTGAACTGGGATAGTGACTGGCGATGGGAGAGAAAGCATAAGAGTGGAAACAGTTGTGCCAGATAAAGCGTCGGTATTGAGGGTACCGTGGAGAACCTGGAAGGCACAGTCCTTACCCTCATACAGCTGAAAACCCACTGGGGAAATAGCCATTAGACAAAGAACCCAATGGACAGATGCAATGTTATACATGCTGAGAGGTGCTATAAGAAAAAGTAACAAGGGGGCATCTGTAATACTTTCAACAATAAAGACCAATGTTTAAAAAGTAGAGTGTAATGCCAGATGATCATGGGGTATGAGAAGTTAACCAGGTGTGGAGAGGAGGAGGCAGAGTTTCCACACGGAGGGAATTAATTACAAAAATGAAGAGGGCTCTGGTGGCCTAGAGGGAGCTAGTGTGCAACTAGGAAAAGGTGTCCCTCCTTCCCGAGGACACTGCTGTGCACAAGGCAGCCACGACTGGATTGCAGCCCCACTCGCTGCTCAGCCAGGTGCACTTGTGCAGTGAGCAGCCTGCATAATCGTCACGTGGAAGAGGCACTAAAGAATACGCAGCCCACCAGATGCAGTGGAAAGGAGTGGGCAAGACTGGCGAGAAAAATGAGCAAGAGGGGGAAGGCAGAAGAAAGAGGAGATGAGGTGGGAGATAAATACAAAAACGATGATGGTGCTACTGCTGAACAGCAGTTGGTCCTAGCTCAGGTTTTTTTCTCATGTATAAGATACTTAAATCCTCTCCACACACCTCACCACTGTTAAAGGGAAATGTTCAAGTGTGAGACAGTGTAATGTTTGTGCTTACACGGCCCATAGTTATCTTTTCCAGACAACATTTAACAGGAGGTTTTAATTCATACGGAACTTCCCCAGTATCAGGGGCGCGTGAGTCCCAGATGATGTCAATGGCTGCCTGATTCCTGGGATCTAAGTCCGGCTGTGCTGCTGACCAGTTTTGAGATCTTGGGGATATGGCTTAACCCATCTGGACTTGGGCTTTCTCTCTGTGGAAGAGATTAGTGAGCTTAAAAGGTATGTTCTGAAATTCTTTAGTAATTCACTCAGAGCATTTCAGAAAAAGATAAATGAAGCACTTTTTTTTTTTTTTTTTTTTTTACAGATAAGGGAACTGGGACCATGACAAATAGATTTTTCTCAGTGTAAGCAAGTAATTTATAACCTCCTGCTTTACTGATCCTCCTTTTACTTTTCTCTATGTTTTATTGAGATATAATTCATATGCCATAAAATTCACCCTTTTAGAGTGGCCAATTCAGTGGCTTGTGCTATATTCCCAATCTTGTGCAACCATCCTCACTAATCTATTTTCATTTCTATGGGTTTGCTTCTTCCAGGCAATGGAATCACACACTATGTAGTCTTTTGTGTCTGGTTTCTTTCACTTAGCACAATGTGTTCAAGGTCAATCCATGTTGTAGCATTTATCAGTACTTCATTCCTTTATTTTGCTGAATAATATTCAATTGTATAGATATGTCACATTTTGTTTATCCAGTCATCAGTTGATAGATATTTGGGTTATTTCCATTTTTTAGCTGTTATACATACTGGTGCTAGGAACACTGACTTGCAAGTTTTGGGGTAAACATATGCTTTTAATTCTTTTGTGCATATACCTAAAAGTGAAATTGCTGGGTATATCATAACCCTATGTTTAAATTTTTGAGGAACTGCCAAAGATTTCCCCAAAGCAGCTACACCATTCTACATTCCCATCAGCAATGTATGAGGATTCCAATTGCTCCACATCCTAACAACACTGTTATTGTCTTTATTGTAGCCATCATCCTAGTGGGTGTGAAGTGGTATCTCATTGTGGTTTTGATTTTGCATTTCCCTAATGATTAACGATGCTGAGCACTTTTCCTGTGCTTATTGGCCATGTGTATACCTTCTTTGGAGAAATTGAGTTTTTTAGTCCTTTGTCCATTTTAAAATTAGGCTCTTTGTCTTTTTATTGCTGTGATGAGTTCTTCATACATTCTAGATACTGGACCTTTACCAGATATATGATTTGCAAATATTTTCCCTCATCCTCTGCACTGTCTTTTCACTTTCTTGCTTGTTTGCTTTCTTGAAGCGCAAATTTGTTTTTCATATTTTGATAAAGTCTAATATGCCCATATTTTCCTTTTGTTGCCTGTGTTTTTGGTGTCTTATCTAAGAAACCATTATCTGATCCAAGTTCTTCTAAGAGTTTTATAGTTTCAGCTCTTACTTTTAGGTATTGGATCAATTTTTAGTCCATTTTTGTAAGTGGTAGGACAAAGGAATCCAACTTCATCCTTTTGTATGTGGATATTCAGGTGTCCCCACACTATTTATGTTAAAAAAAACTGTATTTCCCCATTGAATTGTCATGGCACCCTTGCAAAAAATTAATTGCCCATAAATGTATGGGTTTATTTCTGGACTCTCAATTTTATTCCACTGATCTAAATGTCCATCCTTATGCCAAACATGCAGTCTTAATTGTTGTAGCTTTGTAGTAAGTATTGAAATCAGGAAGTGTAAGTCCTTCAATTTTTTTCTTTTCCGAGATGTTTCAGCTCTACTGGGTCCTGTGCATTTCATGAATGTACCTTTAAGTAGCTTGTCCTGGTGATAGTTTCAAGAACCACAAACCTTGCCGGGTACAATATGGCATGAAAATGTAAAGCAGGTTCTTTTTGGTGCCCAGAAAAAGTAGTTATAGGTGGGTATGCTGATTTTTTTCATTTCCAGTCATTTCTGATGCAGCTTTTACATAATAAATGTTGTTTTGTTCACTGAACATCATTCTGTAATTGCAAAAAAAATGTTGCAACTATTTGGCGGAGCATTATGAATGCTTCTCTGTAACCATAACTTATGTAAAAAGCATTATGTAGGTGTGTCCGGCAGTTAATAAAAATATTAAGCTAGTTTCCCTGGATTTTTCATGTTTATAATAATTGTGAGCTTTTTAAAATTTGCATCTGGTCCTGATTTCTTTTCTAAGTCTAAATAAATATTCACTTTTGTGCCCAACTTTCTAGTCTTTTTTTTCTAAGAGTGACTCCCAAATGTCTAAACTTCAGGCCTCACAAAACCTGGGCCCACCCCTGCACACTGCTGACCATGCTTACCTGCAGACTGACTCACACACAGGCGCCCACCAGGAACACACACAGGAGAATCCACAAGACTCCTATTAAGGAGTCAAAGAGGGAGGAAGGCTCTTGGAACAGCCACGAATCTCCAGCAGCTTCTGGGAGAACTCTGTGGCCCCTGCCCAGTCCTTCTGTGGATGCCCTTGCAAAAATGCCCACACCCACCTGCTTTCCCTATGCACCTGCAACCGTGGCACCCTCATGCATCCTTCACCACAGCCATCATTGTTTCTCACTGCCCTCCCTCACTCCCATGGCCAGCAGCAAGAGGCACTAAGACCCTATCTTCCCCAAAACTAAGCCTAGGCAGGGCTGATGCTCTGCCCCTGGGTCATGCTGACACTTTGAGGGGTGGGCGTGGCTGAGAAATGGCAGGAACCCATGGGGGTAAGGGCTGCTCACAAAGGGTTTGGAGGGGTGGCCGTCCAAGAGAAGGGACGTAGGGGAAGGAGAGGACGTTCAATGAGAGATACTATCTCATTTAATCCTCACGAAAGTATTATTTCTTCTATGCAGACTAGGAAACAGAAACCTAGAGGTGAAAGTGGCCAGTTTACACAGCTAGTAAGCAACAAAATGATATTTCTAACCAAAGTTGAGGACATTTTACCCCCCAGAAGACATTTGGCAGTCTGTAGCCCTTGATGGTCTTGACTGGGGAAGGGATTCTACTGACATCTAGTGGGTAAGTGGCCAGGATGCTGCTAAACTTCCGGCAATGCACAGTACAGCCCCCACCACAAAGGATTATCTGGTCCAAAAAGCCAGCGGTGCAGAGACTGAGAAACCCAGACCTAGCACTTCCCCAGAGTGTTCTTCATCTTGGCTCCTTTCTCAAGTTCCCTGGTTCTAAGAGATCTGGGACCCACTTGCCCAGGGGTTTCAGGAAGGAACAGCTCAGCACCTACACATTCCCAGGTTAGGGACCAGGGTCCGTGCCCACGCTAAGGGTCCGGCAGCCACAGTCACCAATTTCCCACTATTCCACCTGCAGATTCACTCTCCCCTGTCCATTAAAGGGAGGGTTCCTGTCTGGGGAGAAAATGCTTGTCAGTCCCATTGTTTACTATCATCCCAAAGTCTACTCTGTGTCCAGCTTAGGTTAGCTTCCGGATGTAGCCACAAGATGGCACCCCAACCCACCAGGTATGCTAAGGCTCTGGGCCTGGGAGAGCAGCGTAAGATGTGCCAACCTGGGCAAAGGCCTGGGGGCTGGCCTTGGGCCAGTTCCAGAGCCTAGCAGGGCTAGATCAAAGGCCTGCAAGTGCCAGGTGAGGACATAGGCCAAATTTGGCTTCAGGACTCCCTTCACCTTTTTTTCTAGTCCAGCCCCAGTTCAAGTCCCACCACTGATCTTCCTGGAGCCCAGCAACCCCTCCCCTCTAGTCTGAACAAGAGAAAGTCCAGAGCTGAGGTGTTACTATAGGGCTTATTGTTATTCGTAGCCCACCATAAAGAAACTGAGGCATAGGGAATTTGAGTAACTTGCCCAAGGTCACAGCTAGTCAGGGGTGGAGCTAGGATGTGACCCAGGCAGTCTGGTTCTATGCTCGTAGCCACTGAACACCAACCATTTCATCAGTGCACTGCCCCTGGCCCACCCCACGCCACTGATCCTCACGACCCTAGCATGGGACCACAAACTTTCCTCTCTGAAAGGGAGGGGGCAAATGACTATGAGTGTGTGTGTGGGGGCACTCCTCAAGAATGAAAAGGAGTGAGGCTCTTGGCTGGGCGGAGGGTCTGTGGTTAGTGGTTGTGGGTGAGAAGCTGAGGCTCCATCAGCAATTCCTCCTCCCACCCCCTTTTCTCTGGGGCCTTTTTCCTTCTTGTCCTGTAGTGCCCTCTTGGTTTTTCTGGGCTTTCTGCAAATGCCAGCCTTCTTACAGTGTGAAGAGGGTGTGAGAAAAGAGACTTTTATGTCTCTGCTTAGGACAGAGAAGGGGGGGGGGCATTCTTTGAGGCCTGCGCTGGGGGTGTCATCAAGGACAAAGGTGAGAATCCTAAAGTGGGACAGTGTGGGGTGCCTCGGGGCAGCTCCCCTCCCCCACCTGGGCGGCTCTTCTCTCTGAGCCTTCTCCGCTGGCCTCATAGGGGCTGGGTTTTAGGATGTGATGGACAGCCTCTGACACTCCCCTGCCCTCCAACCCTGGCCTGCTTCTTTTTCTAGCACCTCCTGCAGGACCAGGCCCGACCAGAGCTCCTAATCACCTAACCTTCTCACCCGACCTCCCCCCTCCTAGGAGCCCTATGCCTCTCTCTGTCTTTCCCCCGTCTTCTCTCCACCATCTGGGCATATTTCAGCTTCCCACTGTGACTCACCATGGGTAGTGGCCTGAGTGGGCTCCACACTGACTCCCTGAGAGGCCCTGACTAAGTCCCTCCCCCTGCCTCGGTCTCAATGAAGGACTCCAGACTCCTGTGGCCTCTGACACTGGGATTCTAGGACCCTGGCCCCTCCCCTGGCCTTTCTCAGGTCATCCAGGCTCTGAATGAGGACCTCCTGTGCTCTGGGCACTGGGGAGGGAAGCAAACAAGAAGCATCCCCAGAAGAGCTGATATCACTTTCTGGAAACAAGATGAGCTACAGTGAAGGTTGCGGAGTTAACTTGGATCCCAGGGGGTCCTGCAGGAGAGAGAAGGGATGGAACCCTGGGCCCTGTGGCTGTCAGGACCACAGAAGGTTTCCTAGGAGGCAAAGAGGGGTGACTGTCTGGCTGGAAGGAAGGGAAGGTTTGGAAAGGCTCTTTCTCGCTTCTCCCCATCCTGATTTCTCCCAGCCAGGTGTATGCGTGTCTCCGTCCCTGTGGGTCTCTCCTTTTCTTTTCTTTCTTAGGTCTCCATGTTCCTATTGTATCACCTCATTGCTTTGGGTCAGGCTTTCTGAGTGCCTGTGTGGAGGAGATCTGACTTCGGGCCAGGCTGAGCCACAGCAGGCCAGGCCTCCTGGTGGTGAGGGGATGGGGCTCACTGGCTGGGCTGAGAGGGAAACTCCAAGCACTCCCATCCCTGCGGGATTCTGAGATTGCAGGGGGAATGGCTCCCATTTAGAGGAATAACACAGATCAATCTCTGAGGGAGGACTGGCCCCTCCGTCCTGGCCCCATACTCCAGCCTTCTCTCTAACTCTGACCATCTCCACCCGTTTCTGCCCTAACTCTGCCTGTCTCTTGTCTCTCCTCTTGTCCTTCTCTCCTATCCCTCATCTCTTTCCCCGCCCCTGGCCTCTCTCAAACCCTCTCTACTCCTCCAAACCTTTCCTCCACCACTCACAGATTTCCCTGGGGCAGGGCTGGGATTCCCCTGGCCAGGCGAGAAGAGAGAGAGATGCCAGCAGCACAGCTTTGTCCCTAGGCCCACAACAGTGTCTGCGGGTCAGTGTCAAGGGACAGCTGTCCGCACAGTTAGCAAGTGCCGACAGGTAAATAAGAGTCTCGTGTTTTCTTAATTAAATCGCCCTTTGCCCAGGCAGCCTTGTGTTCGATTGAGCTGGGCTGAGATCAATAAGCCTTTCCCTGCACAGCCACACCTGGAGCTGGGCCTGACCTTCCCAGCCCTGTCCAGGCCCACCTGCCCATTCCTCCCCCCAACCCCCCACCCCCCCCTCGAGCCTGGGCGCCCCTCGAGGGCAGGCTCTCCTGTGCTCCTGTTGCCCGGGACAGAGCCTGGAACAAGCAAGGAGTAAAGGAGTGATTGCTCAATTGAGTGAACGGAGGCACTGGCAGCAAACATGGGCCAGCAAGGCTCGGAGGCCCAAACTGCTACTCCCACCCCCACCCGCAGGGTCATCTTTGAAGCTGTATGGATCACAGCAGGCAGCTGCTCCCATCCAGCCCCAGACCCAGGGTCAGCTTGCCAACCAGGGCAGCTGAAGTCCTGCGGTGAGAGGAGGGATTGTCAACCTTCAGGACCACCTTCTGACCTCTAAGGGTATACAGTGCCCCTCTCATAAGGGATCCCCATAAGGATCCAGGGCTAGTGAGGGAGAATCAGTGAGCAGGATCAATATGGTAGAATGTGTGGCACTCACAGGAGACTAGGGTCAGCCTGCAGTTATGAAAGGCCGGGGTCAGTAGGGGTCAAAAGGGGTTAATAAGCATCCTGGGTTATTGGATTCTTAGTAGAGAGCTTAGGGGACAGCATGTGTGTTATATGTATGGAGGTGGGGGAGATATTTTGGGGTCCATGCAAGAGGGAACCTTTGAAAGGATCATGTGGGCTTCAGCTCCCGTGGCAAGGGTCAGTATTAAAGGGTTGCTTGGAGCGGTGTCTCTCATAGGGATGGGGCCTCTCGGTTCACTAGAGGTTAAGACAGTCCCCAGTTTGAAAAGAGAAGGGCAGGTGCGACACTCCTCTCACCTCAGTCTGACCAGGGGAGGCTGACCTAGACGTCTCCCGGAGCCCTCGCCCATCCAGGGGCTTTCCCTCCCCGAAAAGTGAAGCGTTGGCGGGTGCCCGGGAGCCTCAGGAGCCGTGCCGGGAGGGCGCCCCCAGCGCCGGGGTTGAGGGAGGCCC